GAGGGAAAACACCATGCCCCTGAAGGACGACCTAGTTCCAAAACCGCGCCAAAAAACTGCCTAACGTGTCGTCTGAAATCCTAGAAAAACAACATTTTTCGACAGATTCTGTTGCCTGCGGCTGTTGCTAGTCCTCATTCTGCTGCTGCTGCTGCTGCTCCTGCTGCTGCTGCTGCTGCTCCTGCTGCTATGCCGCGCCAAAAGCCTCTGCTGCTGCAACTGCTGCTGCTGCTGCTGCGGGTCCTGTATTTGCTGCTGTTGCCCGGGGGGAAACACCATGCCCCTGAAGGACGACCTAGTTCCAGAACCGCGCCAAAAGACTGCCCAACGTGTCGTCTGAAATCCTAGAAAAACAACCTTTTTCGATAGCTTCTGTTGCCTGCGGCTACTGCAGTAAAACAGCTTCGAAAAAATCACCTGCCGGGGGGAAAACGCCGTGCCTCTGAAGGACGAGCTAGTTCCAAAACCACGCCAAAAAACTGCCTAACGTCTCTTCTGAAATCCTAGAAAAACAACTAGTTCCAAAACCACGCCAAAAAACTGCCTAACGTGGCAAAAAACTGCCTAACGTCTCTTCTGAAATCCTAGAAAAACAACCTTTTTCGACAGCTTCTGTTGCCTGCGGCTGCTGCAGTCAAACAGCTTCGAAATTTTCACCTGCCGGGGGGAAAACACCGTGCCTCTGAAGGACGAGCTAGTTCCAAAACCACGCCAAAAAAAAGCCAAACGTCTCTTCTGAAATCCGAGAAAAACAACCTTTTTCGACAGCTTCTGTTGCGCGCGGCTGCTGCAGTAAAACACTATTTGGATGTGATTGCCCACTTTGCAAAGCTCTACACCGGAGGGGAGCAAATGCCACTGGCAAGCTTCCTAGTGGCCTTTGCAAAGCAGTTTGGAGAAAGTGCATTGCTGGGGGAAGAATTCATGGCAGTGATTACTCACTTTGATTTCAAAATCCATGGCAGCTTGCTACCTTGCTTTCGGGTAGCTATGCTGGTAGCCCAGTTGACTTCCAGCAAGGTTGTTGACAAGATCAGCAAGCTGCTTGTGAAAGGAGATTTTGACCGCCTGAGGAACAAGTGTGGCAAGGAGTTAGCCGAGGCTGAAGCTCTATTGGCCAATGGCTGGCAAATGGTTGAACAAGCTACCCACCTGGATGACTACAAGAAGAGTGTGCTTGTACCATTTTGGTATGTGAAAAGCACTTTGGAAGAAGAGCTAGTTAACATGCAGTTGGAGACGAAGCAGCTGCATGGCTTGGCAGTTCCTTGCTATGTGAACACCGTGTCCTTGGAACCTGGTGCTTTGCTACTGTGTGAACATGAAAATTTGACCAAGAAGAAGCAGAAGAGGGAAGAGATCAGTGCTGCTGCAAAGGCAGAAGCTGGACTTGTTGCCAAGAAGAGAAAGGCCTAGTTTCACAGAATGACCTAAAGATTGCTCAGGTGGAAAACTGGTTTGCTTGCAGCAACTTGCTGTTGTGTACTTATGAGCCATTTTTGGCTGATTGTTGCTTACAATGAGACTTGTTTGTTAGTTGCTTGCTGTAAAGGACTTGTGAAAGTGTAAACTCATGTGCAAAGCTTGGCTCAAAGGTTTGCCAGTTGTCCTCAAAAGCCCAGTCTTTTCCTCAAAGGATTTGGCAGCAGCAATGGACCTGGAAGTGAAATCATTGCTGGGTGTGAGTTGGAAAGGCCAGTTGGTGCCAATTCCAGAAGATTTGCTCATTACCAATGATGATGGTGATACCTTCTTGAAGCTGAGGCCTTCACACCATGCCATCACCACGATGATTTGCCCTGATTGCAAGAAGAAAAATTTATCTCTTTCAGGAGGCACCAAGATGGCTTCTTTGATTGATTTGCTGCATGAAGAGATCAAAAGAAAAAAGCAGGAGCAGGATTCTGAGACTGCTGGTGAACTCTTTGGAGAAGAAAGGGAAAAGCCAAGGAAGAAAAAGGCTAAGAAGACTGAAAGCACAGACCACCCTGCATTTGTCAGTGTCACCTTGCCTGATGATGGTGGCTCCGTGGTCTTGCAATGGCCAGCAAACAAGCATGCTGATGTAGCTGTGATGCTTGAAGCAGGCAATTTGCAGAAGTGTTTTGAATACCTGCACAGTGATTGTAGCCAATGTGAGGAAGGCACCAAGAGAACTTACAACAAGAGTGGAAGATTTGTCAAAGGCAAATCGGGTCAGGCAGACTGAGAAGCCAAGCTGGTGAAAGGAAAAAAAATGTTTTTTGGCCTTGTAAACTACATGTCCATGGAGCCTATAAGGCTGTGTTGTTGCTTGCTTGGAGCCATAAGGCTATAACATGGTAATAAGAAATGTGTACATATAATATAATCAAATCTAGGAAATTGTCATGGTAGGCATGCTTGGAAATAGGGAGCCCATGTGGTTGCTTGTATTGTTGCATGTATCTTGGAGCCCCAGAGGCTGTAAGAACACAGGTTCTTGCCCAAGTTTGTTTGGAGTTTGTGCACACTGAGGACAGTGACAGACCTCTTGACCGGCACCTGGCTGATGACAGAGTTCAAGGTCAATGGGCAGCATGTGTTGAAGAAGAAGGAGCTAGACCTTTTCCTGTGGTACACTACTCATGGGCCTACCTGGTACATTGCCAACAGCTATGTGCCAGATGGTGGGACCTGGCAGAACCTGCAGTGCTATGCCAGGATTGCAGACAAGAATGGGTCACCATGTGGGGAAATTTTCATTCCCTTCCAGAACACCACCAAGGCAAACTGGGTGTTGACCTCTGCTGCCCTCTTCATTCCTAAGATGGCAGAGAGCTTGCTGCAGAGATGGAACTTCTTGAAGAACCACGTGCAGGAGGTGAAGAAGATGAATGAGGAGTTGAAGATGGAGAATGAGCAGTTGAAGTTGCAACTTCAACAGCTGGAGGAGACTCATGGGCCTATCCCTATGAATGTTTCAGCTGGGACTGCAGCAGCTCCAAGTGGAGGACTTCATGGTGGAAGTGGTCTGCTGCCACCACCACCTAAGGTTCCGAAATTGGGTAGCTATGGCAAAGGGAGGGATGAAGAGGGCAAGGGCAAGACTTCACCAACAGCCATGTGGATGGCTACAGGCTCTGAGAAGGTGAAGGCAACTGGCTGGAAGAACTACATGGTACCCTTGCTGGGAGTATCTTGGCATTTTTTTTACTTGAGCCAATGTGGCTGCTTGAAGAGCCAAGAGGCTAACATAATTGAACAAATAATACTTGAATAATACTGTTTTAATGTCAGCCCAGGCCTATATCCAGAAGGATTGGCAGAAGGCTGATACCCTGGTGGCCCTGCAGCTTGACTCAAGTTTGGGGCACTGCAATAGTTTCTCATAATGTATCAGTGGCACAGCATCACATCTAAGGTATCTACAAGATCCTGCTATGAGAACCATGGTGGACAACCACATCTACACTCTCCGGAATGTGGGCTTTGACAAGCTCTATCCATGGGGCTCAGAATAGATGAGCAATCTACCTGTCAAGGATGCAGCAGTGGAGAATCCACTGATTTTTTAGAAGATGATTCAACAAAGAGCTGATCCAAAAGATGTGGAAAAAATGAACATGTTCAAGGCTTACTTGGCATTGAATTGCAAAGAGCCATACTTAGGCTTTGATACATGGAGCCTTTTTGGCTGTTTGCATGCATGTCACTTGCTTGGAGCCATTGAGCAGGCTGATTAATCATTCAGACATTCATGTGTTACATGAATAAGCACATATGAATTTTGTATACCCTGCAGCCTTGTGCCAACAAGTGCTCAGAAATTGAAAGGTTGGTAAAAAATGAATAAGTATCTAAAACATTGTTCATGTGAGATCAATATGACATAACATGACAAATCAGCTAAATGAGTACACCAGCTCCTGCACCAGCCATGGATAATGCTGTGGAAATGCTATCCACTGAAACTCAGAAAGAGCTGAACTCTGACTTCCACAAAGCCAAATGGGAATGCTTTGTGAATGCATTGCCCATGACAGACCCTGTGGAGTCAGTCTACTACATGTTTGGCTCAGACACTGAGAAGACACTTGACTGCATTTAAAGTGGTTTGGGCTACAAATTTATTGTATATTTATCAAATTATTCATATTTTTTTAATAATTAATTTATTTTTTCAAAACATATAAATATAACAAAAGTTAAATCTAATTCAGAATCTGAATTGTTTGTCCAGACAAACAATTCAGATTCTGAATTGGTTGAAAAAAACATTCTTTGTTTGCTTCAGAAAAAACATAAATTTTATTTAAAAATATTTTATTTAATATTAGTTCTTTTGGTACTTTTGATTTTTTATTTATATTTACTTATGGCTTTGAACCTTTTTCCATATTAGTTTGATTTAATTAATATTATTTCTGAAACAATGCTAATATATATTAATATACTAAAATATCATACAATTTATTGTTTACAAGTATAATATTACAATAGATATTGGTTATCATTGTTTAGAAAATACATATATATTACTACTTTAAATAATATAATATATATTTATATACTATATTTCAGAATAACTCATTATTATCTTGGAGCCCACTGGGCTGTTTGTTTGTCTTTGTTAAATGCATTGATTCATGATAAATTAATAGTATGAGCCAGAGAAGCTTCTTGCTTGAGCCTTTTTTAGAATCTTGACTTGGAGCCACGGGCTACGCCAGAAGCCTCTGCTGCTGCAACTGCTGCTGCTGCTGCTGCGGGTCCTGTATTTGCTGCTGTTGCCGGGGGAAACACCACGCTCCTGAAGGACGACCTAGTTCCAGAACCGCCCGCTGCTGCTAAAACCGCGCCCAAAAACTCTTTCACGTCAGCCGATGAGAAACACCATGCCGCTAAACCGCGTGCTGCTGCTGCTGCCGCTTCTCTTGCCGCGGGCAAGAAACTGCCTGACGTGTCGTCTGAATATTTTTATTGTTGTTATTGTGCTGCTCGAAAAAACAGTTCCTCGCGCGAAGCTCACCTCGAAAAAAAGCAGCTGCCGGCAGGAAAAACACCATGCCCCTGAAGGACGAACTGTAGCAGCAGCTGCAGCAGGGTAAAAACTGCCTAACCTATCGTCTGAACTCCTAGAAAAACAGGGGGCAGGATCAAAAAAAACATTTTTAGGCATCAAAAAAAACATTTTTAGCAGAGATCAAAAAAACATTAATTAGGGATCAAAAAAACATTTTTTGGAGACCATTTGTGAGAAGGGTAGGGGTTGTGCTCATCCGCTGCTAGCAGTAAAACAGCTTCGAAAAAATCAGCTGCCGGAGGGAAAACACCATGCCCCTGAAGGACGACCTAGTTCCAAAACCGCGCCAAAAAACTGCCTAACGTGTCGTCTGAAATCCTAGAAAAACAACATTTTTCGACAGATTCTGTTGCCTGCGGCTGTTGCTAGTCCTCATGCTGCTGCTGCTGCTGCTGCTGCTGCTGCTGCTGCTGCTGCTCCTGCTGCTATGCCGCGCCAAAAGCCTCTGCTGCTGCAACTGCTGCTGCTGCTGCTGCTGCGGGTCCTGTATTTGCTGCTGTTGCCCGGGGGGAAACACCATGCCCCTGAAGGACGACCTAGTTCCAGAACCGCGCCAAAAGACTGCCCAACGTGTCGTCTGAAATCCTAGAAAAACAACCTTTTTCGATAGCTTCTGTTGCCTGCGGCTACTGCAGTAAAACAGCTTCGAAAAAATCACCTGCCGGGGGGAAAACGCCGTGCCTCTGAAGGACGAGCTAGTTCCAAAACCACGCCAAAAAACTGCCTAACGTCTCTTCTGAAATCCTAGAAAAACAACTAGTTCCAAAACCACGCCAAAAAACTGCCTAACGTGGCAAAAAACTGCCTAACGTCTCTTCTGAAATCCTAGAAAAACAACCTTTTTCGACAGCTTCTGTTGCCTGCGGCTGCTGCAGTCAAACAGCTTCGAAATTTTCACCTGCCGGGGGGAAAACACCGTGCCTCTGAAGGACGAGCTAGTTCCAAAACCACGCCAAAAAAAAGCCAAACGTCTCTTCTGAAATCCGAGAAAAACAACCTTTTTCGACAGCTTCTGTTGCGTGCGGCTGCTGCAGTAAAACACTATTTGGATGTGATTGCCCACTTTGCAAAGCTCTACACCGGAGGGGAGCAAATGCCACTGGCAAGCTTCCTAGTGGCCTTTGCAAAGCAGTTTGGAGAAAGTGCATTGCTGGGGGAAGAATTCATGGCAGTGATTACTCACTTTGATTTCAAAATCCATGGCAGCTTGCTACCTTGCTTTCGGGTAGCTATGCTGGCAGCCCAGTTGACTTCCAGCAAGGTTGTTGACAAGATCAGCAAGCTGCTTGTGAAAGGAGATTTTGACCGCCTGAGGAACAAGTGTGGCAAGGAGTTAGCCGAGGCTGAAGCTCTATTGGCCAATGGCTGGCAAATGGTTGAACAAGCTACCCACCTGGATGACTACAAGAAGCAAGGTGTGTTTGGCAGGTACTGCATCCGCATTGTCTTGTTCCTGTGCCAAAAGCAGAAATTCAGTCGAGAAAACAAGATTTGGGAAAGCTTGCAAGAAATCACAGATCAGTTTGGAGCTGAAATGTTGTCTCCTCCAGACCACACTGCTCCCAGTAGCTCTCATGGCTTGCCAGCTGGCAAGGCTGGAAAGTTTTGAAGATTTGCTGACAGCAGATGAAGCTTCTGTTGCAATGCTGCAGCACCAGCACTTGGAGCCTGGGGCCAACTACCAGAACCCAAAGCATGACCAAGCCATCTACAAGCTGTTGGAAATGACCAAAGAAGGTGCTAAGTTCCTTGACCCAGGATATTGATTGTGATTATGTTTATTTGTTAAAATTGCTGAACTTGTGTGGCTCCTCTGTATGTCTAAAAGTTTAAAGCAGCCCCTGCATTTGTTTTTATCTGAGGTTTGAGCATGTGCCCTTGGTGGGTGCTGCTGTGCATTTGCTAGTGCCCTTGGGTGAAGACTTGAAGGAATGGAGGAAAACAAAGAAGCATATGCCTGTGCTGCTCAGCACTGACATAGCAGAGAAGCACCTGCTGTACAAGCACCCTGGCATTCAGGAGGCCATTAGCATGCACCAAGCTCAATTGCAATTGCGCAAGGCCTTCAGCACGAACCCTGTGAACCACAAGGCTGTTGGCTTTGTTGCTCACCCCACTGGTGTCTGCTCCTTGCAGCATTTTGCTCCTGGAGCTTTGGTTCTGAAGGCCTATGGAAGCTTGTTCCCTTTGAAAGATCAAGAAAAGGACAAAGTGAAAATCTTGGTTGGCAATTTTGGCATCAGCCCGCCCAAGATGATTTCTGAATTCGACAAGATGGATTCCAAGAGTGTGCTTGTACCATTTTGGTATGTGAAAAGCACTTTGGAAGAAGAGCTAGTTAACATGCAGTTGGAGACGAAGCAGCTGCATGGCTTGGCAGTTCCTTGCTATGTGAACACCGTGTCCTTGGAACCTGGTGCTTTGCTACTGTGTGAACATGAAAATTTGACCAAGAAGAAGCAGAAGAGGGAAGAGATCAGTGCTGCTGCAAAGGCAGAAGCTGGACTTGTTGCCAAGAAGAGAAAGGCCTAGTTTCACAGAATGACCTAAAGATTGCTCAGGTGGAAAACTGGTTTGCTTGCAGCAACTTGCTGTTGTGTACTTATGAGCCATTTTTGGCTGATTGTTGCTTACAATGAGACTTGTTTGTTAGTTGCTTGCTGTAAAGGACTTGTGAAAGTGTAAACTCATGTGCAAAGCTTGGCTCAAAGGTTTGCCAGTTGTCCTCAAAAGCCCAGTCTTTTCCTCAAAGGATTTGGCAGCAGCAATGGACCTGGAAGTGAAATCATTGCTGGGTGTGAGTTGGAAAGGCCAGTTGGTGCCAATTCCAGAAGATTTGCTCATTACCAATGATGATGGTGATACCTTCTTGAAGCTGAGGCCTTCACACCATGCCATCACCACGATGATTTGCCCTGATTGCAAGAAGAAAAATTTATCTCTTTCAGGAGGCACCAAGATGGCTTCTTTGATTGATTTGCTGCATGAAGAGATCAAAAGAAAAAAGCAGGAGCAGGATTCTGAGACTGCTGGTGAACTCTTTGGAGAAGAAAGGGAAAAGCCAAGGAAGAAAAAGGCTAAGAAGACTGAAAGCACAGACCACCCTGCATTTGTCAGTGTCACCTTGCCTGATGATGGTGGCTCCGTGGTCTTGCAATGGCCAGCAAACAAGCATGCTGATGTAGCTGTGATGCTTGAAGCAGGCAATTTGCAGAAGTGTTTTGAATACCTGCACAGTGATTGTAGCCAATGTGAGGAAGGCACCAAGAGAACTTACAACAAGAGTGGAAGATTTGTCAAAGGCAAATCGGGTCAGGCAGACTGAGAAGCCAAGCTGGTGAAAGGAAAAAAATGTTTTTTGGCCTTGTAAACTACATGTCCATGGAGCCTATAAGGCTGTGTTGTTGCTTGCTTGGAGCCATAAGGCTATAACATGATAATAAGAAATGTGTACATATAATATAATCAAATCTAGGAAATTGTCATGGTAGGCATGCTTGGAAATAGGGAGCCCATGTGGCTGCTTGTATTGTTGCATGTATCTTGGAGCCCCAGAGGCTGTAAGAACACAGGTTCTTGCCCAAGTTTGTTTGGAGTTTGTGCACACTGAGGACAGTGACAGACCTCTTGACCGGCACCTGGCTGATGACAGAGTTCAAGGTCAATGGGCAGCATGTGTTGAAGAAGAAGGAGCTAGACCTTTTCCTGTGGTACACTACTCATGGGCCTACCTGGTACATTGCCAACAGCTATGTGCCAGATGGTGGGACCTGGCAGAACCTGCAGTGCTATGCCAGGATTGCAGACAAGAATGGGTCACCATGTGGGGAAATTTTCATTCCCTTCCAGAACACCACCAAGGCAAACTGGGTGTTGACCTCTGCTGCCCTCTTCATTCCTAAGATGGCAGAGAGCTTGCTGCAGAGATGGAACTTCTTGAAGAACCACGTGCAGGAGGTGAAGAAGATGAATGAGGAGTTGAAGATGGAGAATGAGCAGTTGAAGTTGCAACTTCAACAGCTGGAGGAGACTCATGGGCCTATCCCTGTGAATGTTTCAGCTGGGACTGCAGCAGCTCCAAGTGGAGGACTTCATGGTGGAAGTGGTCTGCTGCCACCACCACCTAAGGTTCCGAAATTGGGTAGCTATGGCAAAGGGAGGGATGAAGAGGGCAAGGGCAAGACTTCACCAACAGCCATGTGGATGGCTACAGGCTCTGAGAAGGTGAAGGCAACTGGCTGGAAGAACTACATGGTACCCTTGCTGGGAGTATCTTGGCATTTTTTTTACTTGAGCCAATGTGGCTGCTTGAAGAGCCAAGAGGCTAACATAATTGAACAAATAATACTTTAATAATACTGTTTTAATGTCAGCCCAGGCCTATATCCAGAAGGATTGGCAGAAGGCTGATACCCTGGTGGCCCTGCAGCTTGACTCAAGTTTGGGGCACTGCAATAGTTTCTCATAATGTATCAGTGGCACAGCATCACATCTAAGGTATCTACAAGATCCTGCTATGAGAACCATGGTGGACAACCACATCTACACTCTCCGGAATGTGGGCTTTGACAAGCTCTATCCATGGGGCTCAGAATAGATGAGCAATCTACCTGTCAAGGATGCAGCAGTGGAGAATCCACTGATTTTTTAGAAGATGATTCAACAAAGAGCTGATCCAAAAGATGTGGAAAAAATGAACATGTTCAAGGCTTACTTGGCATTGAATTGCAAAGAGCCATACTTAGGCTTTGATACATGGAGCCTTTTTGGCTGTTTGCATGCATGTCACTTGCTTGGAGCCATTGAGCAGGCTGATTAATCATTCAGACATTCATGTGTTACATGAATAAGCACATATGAATTTTGTATACCCTGCAGCCTTGTGCCAACAAGTGCTCAGAAATTGAAAGGTTGGTAAAAAATGAATAAGTATCTAAAACATTGTTCATGTGAGATCAATATGACATAACATGACAAATCAGCTAAATGAGTACACCAGCTCCTGCACCAGCCATGGATAATGCTGTGGAAATGCTATCCACTGAAACTCAGAAAGAGCTGAACTCTGACTTCCACAAAGCCAAATGGGAATGCTTTGTGAATGCATTGCCCATGACAGACCCTGTGGAGTCAGTCTACTACATGTTTGGCTCAGACACTGAGAAGACACTTGACTGCATTTAAAGTGGTTTGGGCTACAAATTTATTGTATATTTATCAAATTATTCATATTTTTTTAATAATTAATTTATTTTTTCAAAACATATAAATATAACAAAAGTTAAATCTAATTCAGAATCTGAATTGTTTGTCCAGACAAACAATTCAGATTCTGAATTGGTTGAAAAAAACATTCTTTGTTTGTTTCAGAAAAAACATAAATTTTATTTAAAAATATTTTATTTAATATTAGTTCTTTTGGTACTTTTGATTTTTTATTTATATTTACTTATGGCTTTGAACCTTTTTCCATATTAGTTTGATTTAATTAATATTATTTCTGAAACAATGCTAATATATATTAATATACTAAAATATCATACAATTTATTGTTTACAAGTATAATATTACAATAGATATTGGTTATCATTGTTTAGAAAATACATATATATTACTACTTTAAATAATATAATATATATTTATATACTATATTTCAGAATAACTCATTATTATCTTGGAGCCCACTGGGCTGTTTGTTTGTCTTTGTTAAATGCATTGATTCATGATAAATTAATAGTATGAGCCAGAGAAGCTTCTTGCTTGAGCCTTTTTTAGAATCTTGACTTGGAGCCAGTGTGGCTACATGTACTTGTTCATATAATATTGCAATTGACCTTTGATTTGTCCAGCATGTGTTGAATTGATTGGCATGGTTTTGTGTTATGTGAGCCATCCAAGTTTCAAGTTTCAAAAGTAATGCATTTTTTAGTATACAATATTGTTATTAGACATGCTGCACAATTTCATGGTGAAACATATCAAGTCATGCATTCTTTTTGTCTTCTAACTCACTCATTGTTCTCTAAAGAAAAGCTTGCAGACTTTTGATGTTCTAGTTTTGCCATGGCTTGGACGAGCAAAGACTTTGTGAATGAACTCAAAGATGTGGAGAAGCTACTTTCATACAATCCTGCTCCAATGCTTCAAGAGAGCTTGATTGGAGCTTTGTTGAAGAAAGTTGATTTGACAGCTGAGCTCATGCCTTCAGACTTTGTGGTCATGATGGAGGCAGTTGAGAACTCTGCTTTGATAGATGAAAAGAAGAAAACATTGAAAGATGAATTGATGAGAAGGGCTGCACTCAATCAACAATCTTCTGTCGGCAATGCAGTGGTGAAGAGACCACAGTCTTTGGTGAACATAGCAGCTTACTTGACTAAGAAGGACCTGGAACAGTTGATGTCTGGAGACATTACCCTGGCTCCTTACATTATTGTCCAAAGATTGAGGCTGGTGGGCATGACTTCTATGAAAGAGGATACCAAGAGAGCAGCAGTTTCTTTGCTAGCCCAGTCTATGCTCTGGCATGGTATGCAAATGCCAGATGCTGATTATACATATAGAATGGCAACACAGCTCACTAGCCTGTTTCAAAGCAGTAAAAATCAATCACCAGTGCCTCCCATGAGAACATATCCTGAGTCACCAGCTGAGCTTGGAGAACAATGGATGAAAAAAGTTTATGGAGATGAAGAACCTTGTTTAAAAACTTTGCCACAATTGGCAGAGATTGGCTCCCAGGTAGCTGTCCGAAACACCCATGGCAACTTGTCCAGGAATGCCAGCTGTAGAATGAATGGAAAGCAACAAGGAAGATCTGTTATGCTGATCCCCAGACAGGACATCTTGATGAATGAGGCCTGTCCCAGTGGGCCATCTTCTTCCAGGCCAGTGACACTTACAATTTTTGACAAACAACCCAGCCCACAGAAACCTGGCACTGCAGGTAGCAATGCTTTGGACTTGCTGCAGCTCAAGAAGCAGATGGGTAGACCCTCTTCACCTGCTAACAAAGATCAACTGGCTTTGCCTGCTCCAGAAACAGACAAGGATGGATTGGGTGCTTCCAAGCCAGAGAATTGTGAAAAAAACAAGGATGCATTGCCACAGGCCTCTGTCAGCACCCCTGCTGATCAGGATCAACCCAGGAGTTTAGAATCCTATGAAGATGCTGCCATGGCTAGCCTACTCAAAAGACCAGCTAGCAAGAGCCCAGTCCTGAAGAAGCCATCTGCCAGCACCACTTTGGAAAGCAGTTCTGGTAGTGCCAAGCCCAATACAGCCATTCCTGCCAAGAGAATTTATGGATGCTTGAGATGCCGGGGAAATCCAAATGGTTGTGATACTTGTCATTCTGACACGTTTAATGGCAAAAGATTTAAAGGAAGAGACGACTACAATAAGTTTGTCCAAAGACAGGCAGCAGCTGGTAAAGTTTACAAATGAATGTTTCACAGTTTCTCACCCTTTGGCTTTGTAAGTGTACAGTTTTGCCTCTATGGCCTCTTTCAACCTCTGCTGGGCAGGGTCTCTCATAAATTCTTGCCAGCCATGCTTCTGAAGGAAAAAATTGCTATGTTGCAAAAGGCATTTGGTCTGAGCCATTCAGGCTGCCATGCCTCATCTGAGCCATTCAGGCTGTCAAAGTGCATGTGTTGTCAAGAGCCATAAGGGCTAGCATGTCTTCCTTGCAACCATAGCAGCCATGATCTTTGGGTTGCCTTCTAAGATTGCAGCCCACTTTTCTTGAATACTTTGCTGTTTGCAGGCCCAAGGGAGCCAAGTTTACTAGTTCTCCTCCAAGTCTCTTTGGTAAACATCAGTTTGGTAACCATTTTGTGTTGACCAGGGACACAATTTTTAACAATCAGCCAAGTTGCCAACAGCTTGTGATAGCCAAGCAGTATGTCTGTGTAGCTCTTCAAATTTGTGATTGTTCTCTTCACAGCCATGGTCTCATGGAAGATGAGTCATCAAGGCCAGCCAAGTTGAGAAAGTTAGAACAGTTCAGGAGGCACTTGCCTTACCTGAGTTGTAAAGCTTTGGATGATGTCCTGACACTGGTGAAGCAGGAAGGCTGCCCTCCACTGCACAGTAGGAAACATACCAAAGAAGCTGTGGAAGTCACTTTGGAAGGGCTGTATAGCTATGGGCCCCTGGTGGAAGCAGTTGAAGCCAGTACACTCACAGGTGAAAGCAAGAAAGTTCCCATGGTGAACCTTTCATCTTTGCTTCAAGGCCTGTTCCAGGACAGCAATTACTTTTTTGAGTTGCTGACTCATGCCCATGCACTCAATCCTTCAAGCTTCGAAAGACCTTGGAGGGGCATTCTATATGCAGATGAACTTCACCCAGGGAACCAGTTGAGCAGCACAACCAGAAAGACTTGGATAATATATTTCAGCTGGTTAGAGTTGACGCCTAAGCTTCTTTCTGATGAGAAGCACTGGTTTACACTCATGGTAATCAGAAGCCATGAGACTGCTGAGATTGAAGCTGGCATTTCTCAACTGACAAGGCTGCTATTGGAAAGAATGTTCCACCATGACCATGGAACACCTTTGGCTGGCATACTTCTCAAAAATGGAGATAATACTCTCAAACTGTATTGGACTTTGGGCCTTCATTTGCAAGATGGTGCCTCTCAAAGACAAACTTGGGCCAACAGACAGGATACAGGATCAAGATTTTGCCAGTTGTGCAAAAATGTATTTTCTTTGAGCAATGCATCAGCAGATGTTGAAGATGATTGCAAAATCAGCTCCAGACACATTGTTTTCCAAGGCTTGGAAATCTGCACGGATGAAGAAATTATTGGTTCTTGGAAAAGACTGGAAATAAAACAGAAAACAGAAAAGAAGGGCATTTTCAAGAAGTGGCAGCAAGCTTGTGGGTTTACTTTTTCACAGAAAGCATTGTTGATGAGTTCTGTTCTGCAACAGCTTGCTTTGCTGAAGCCAGTCAGTGGCTATTGTCATGACTGGATGCATGGTATGGCATCCAGTGGAGTTCTTTGCCATGTCATGGCTTGGGTCTTGGAAGCCTTGGCAACTTCAGGAATGCCCAACATTTGGCACACCTTGCAGGATTACATTCAATTGTGGACTTGGCCTGGGAACTTGCCTGGTACCTCAGCTCTGCACAAGCTCTTCAGCAGCAAGAAAGTTGAGACACACAGAAAGCATCAGAAGATGGTGGTTTCTGCTTCAGAGCTTTTGTCCCTTTATCCTATTGTTGAATATTATCTGCAAACTTGCTGCTTACTGCCGGACTGCCAAGAACAAAAGCATGTTTACTTGGCCTGGTGCAGAGTGATGGATATTTTGGTAGCTTCTTCCAATGTTTTGCCACTGCCTGGCCATTTACTGCAAACTGTTGAGACAGCTTTGGCTCTTACAGTCTCTGCTGGCTATGGAAACATTATGGTACCAAAATTTCACTGGGCATTGCATTATGAAGATGCAATGCAAAGGTACCAGGGGCTGCCAAGCTGTTGGAGTTTGGAAAGAAAACATAAAATTGCCAGGAGGTATGGCACTGGCCTGTACAACACCACATGCTATGAAGATACCCTTTTGAAAGAAGTGACAGCTGACCACTTGTCTGTCCTCAAAGAATCTGCAACATACCAACCTGGGGCTCATTTGCTGGCACCTCACCTGGCCTCCAGAAAGCTGCAAGCTTATTTGGCTGAGACAGGTATTGCCACTGCTCAGCACCATTGCCAAGTCAGCAACTCTGCTAAGCTGAAATGTGGAAGCACTTGTAAAGTGGGAGATTATGTGCTTCACATGCTGCCACAAGCACCTGGAAGTGATTTTGATTTTTCAGCGGGAAGACTGGAATGCATTTTGCAACTGGGTTCTTTGAAAGTTGTCATTGTCCAAGCTTTGACTTTGAAGGAGCATTGCTGGAAGAAGAAGGTTGCCAAATGGTCACCTTCCTTACATAACCTCCATGTAGTGGAGCTGGACCTGGTGGTTGCTGTGATGGTTTTCAACAAAGGTTTGAATGGGGACATCACCACATTGCTACCGCCCCACTTGTCTCAGAAGCACAAGTGAAGAAAAATGTTGCTGGGCACTGGCTGTGAGTGTTTTGGTTCCTCCCTGGACACTTGCTGGAGTTGAGTAGGGAGCCTTTAGGCTGCATGATTTGGAGTTGATATAAGCTCCTTGCATGCTGAGCTTGGTTGCTTCATATGTTTGGAATTGCTGGGCAAACAAGATGTGCCCATGCATGTGCATGGTTTGTTTACAAAAAGTGCAATAAATATTTTACACATAATCTCTATAGTATATGGTTTGGTTTCCACCAAAACAAAATCAATAGAACATCCCTGCCTTTCATTCCATGATGTATTTTTGCATTCAATCAATGTAATCAGGCAAAGTAGGACTGCTGATGGAGCTTTGACAGAATCCATTGCAGAAGGCAGAAAGCCAATTTTCATCCACATGCAATTGTTAAAAAACAAAAATTACAGAACCATCTGTTCATGCATGGGTTTTTGCAGATTTCAAACTGGTTGCTTTTATATGTTCACACTATGTCAGAAACCAATCCTGTAGCAGGGTGACTTGAAAAACCAGGAAAACAAACCATTGACATGTTGAAAATTATACTTTGTATTTTTAATTTTTCATTCATCATTCTAACCTTCTTAACCTTGCTAACCTCTTAGCTAACTAGTTAGGTAACCAGTTAGTCTAAACATGTTAACCCTTTAGCTAAACATCTTAACCTCCTGATCTAAACTTGCTAAACATGTTAAATGGTTATACCATGTAAGCAAGCCCCAGAACATCTAAGTGGGCACAGTGCTGCGGCTAGTACGCAGTGATAGTAATGGACGGCAGGTGGGATGGCCAGCTTGCTGATGACAGAGGCTTTGGCAATTGAAGCTGGGGCTGAACGTTGCCTCATAAGACCTTGCGTTTCTTGATGAACATTTTGAACGATCTCTCGCTGATGCCTGGATCGAGATCACTTGAGTGTGAGTGCATGGCCCGTAGCTCTTTTACGTTTCACTGTTTCACACCAAGATCATCATGGCTTGTAGTTGTCGGACAGCTGGGATCCTGGCTGGGGGGATCCTGGCTGGCCGCTGGTGGTGGTTTTTTGTTGTTTTTTTGTGTTGCTTGCTTCGGCTGGTTTTGGTTGTGTGGAGGATGATCTTACTCACGTCATTCGTGACCTGCGACTCCCGCATTGGCACGTGGAGACAAAAAAACAATCTTTCATAATATCGATGACGTCATCAAATCGGGAATTGAAGAGCTTGATGTGCACGTTACTGAAGCACAGACTCTCAGGTTTTGTCAGCAGTGACATTGGTGTCTTTACATTGCTTCATCGCTACATCAACCAGCTTTGTACGCCTGCTGACGTTGCACCATCTGCAACCCCATTGCACTTGAAGATTGGGAACGCACCGCGTGCTCATAAAAGCCAACGTTTTGGATTTACAAATGCAACGGTGGGTAGCTTGTGCTATCAGTTGAAAAGATGGAAGCAGTGGAGGGAGCGAACTGAGTTCAGCAGGCAAAGGGATGATTCGACCGCCAACCTCCTCCCTGTGCACTCTCATCAATGGCCACTTGGTAAAAGCCGTTTACCTCTTCGCAGCCTTCGGTCGTGACCGGGGCGCCAAGCCCGATCTGCACAACAGCGCGCCGCGAGAGCGTGCAAAAAAAAAAACACACGGATGTTGTTCCGCAGGCTGCAGGTTTTCAAAGACCCTCCATAAACCTCTTCGGCGCAGCAAGATGCACAGATGGAGATGCGCAGGTGGAAATGTAAAGCGCAGACCACATTCCAAAATGGGTCCACCAGCTGATAATTGGCTGGGTGGTGAACGATTCTCACGCAAGTTCTGCTGCGGATGTTTCACGAGCTACGTATCAACAACTGGTGCGATATGTTAACTTCCATTGCTTTCTTGACCTCAACTTCCATTGCTTCAACTTTCTTGGACTTTAACTTCCGTTGCCTCAATTTTCTTGAATTTGATTTCCATTGGTTTAACTTTCTTGCGATGACTTCTCCAAGCTAGGTTCATGCTATTTGCAGAGCATTTCTCTGGGGTTCTGCATGTTTTTTCTGCTGCGCTTACTTCGGATGTCGTTGAGTTGGCGTGGATCGCATTTTTCCGTTCTCCATTCTCCAATCGCAATCTTCTGCAATGGCCTTGATTGACTGCGACTGACTGACGGGATTAGGTAGAATTGTAGTTTGTTACATAGTTTTTTTACTGTTGATGTTGCTCTCTGACTGCCTTGAATTGGGATTCTTGGCTGTTTCACTGCTGTGTCTCATTTTATCGTTACCTGTGACCGCGGCCACTGAGCCAATGCGGCGCGCCCGAGGAAAAAAACCCTGGTTTAACTTTCTTGGACCTTAATGTCCATTGTTTTAATTTCCTCCACTTTGACTTCCATTGCTTTGATTGTTTCGGCTTTAATTTCCATTGCCTTTATTTATCTCGGCTTTAATTTCTATTGCTTCAGCATTCCTTGACCTTAACTTCCGTTGCTTTAAATTTTTTGACTTTGACTTCCATTGGTTTAACTTTCCTTGATTTCAAATTCCATTGCTTGCACTTTCCTTGGCTTTAACTTTCATTGCTAAAATTTCCTTGGCTTTGACTTTCATTGCTTTAATTTCTTTGACTTTTGACTTTCATTGCTTTAATTTCCGTTGCTTGTGTTTTCGTTGGCTTTAAATTCAATCGCTTTTCATTTTCCTTGCCTTCAACTTTCATTGTGTTAACTTTCTTTGGCTTGAACTTCCATCGCTTGAATTTTCTTTGCCTTCAACTTCCTTTGCTTTAATTGTCCTGGGTTTTTATTTCCGCTGCTTTAGCTTTCATTGCTTTACTTCTGTTGTCACCTATTTCAAATATTCGTAACACGGAACTTTTTCATCGTCATTTTCTTTGATAAAGTAACAGTATAGGCAAACATTTCTCGTATTATGGCTGGTCAAATTTACAAATTTAGACTTTAGGAACCATTTCGGCTCTTTGGTCAAACCATGAGGAGATACACGGCTGTATCCATGCATGATCATCATCACGTAACCACTCGTCAATTTACCAGGATCGGCTAACTTTGCAACTGATAAAGGGACAACGGTTGTTCCACATTGGTAACCATATTTGACATCCGTTATTGCCTAACGTCAGCAAATTGTAGAATCATACCTGACAATAATCTTTATTCTTGTTTGTAACCCATCATTTTTGTTTCCTCGCCTTTTGACCTAATTGTTGCCAATCAACCTTATGGCTGCTAATAAGCGCGTGGTAGTATCCAACTATTTCTGTTTTGGTGCAGCGCCAACATGGGCCAACCTGTTGAGTACACCTCCAAGTTGGGTGGTTATGTTGAGAATGGAATCGGCCCAAGTGTCAGCAAAACATTGGATCCTTGAAACCCAATGCTTGTAAATTGAATCATTGAATGCCCTGCTTTGCAAGGGTTTGCAGAAGAGTGTTTGCTTTCGAACAAGTCCAAATCATAAAATGCCAATGACTTCCGACCCCGGCCCTTGTCCTGACAGGGGTGTTGATGACTTGAACAAAAGCTGACATACCGGATGCAAAAGGAATCAAAAGACAGCGCTCGCGTTTGCATTTGCACAGTGATTTTTGGTCACTTGAGCGGGATAAACTCTCATAAAAACCAGGAGAGCACTCTAAAGTAATCTGCCAAAAACCCATTTTCATTTTGCATTTTTTGTTTGAAACTTCCATGAAGATTTCCAGCTGACAGCCAGGCTTTCCTGCACCAGTTATGCGCCAATCATGACTTGAATGGTAGCGATTTTTGCTTCGCGCAGCTGATTTCATTCGAAAACCTCACTCAATCATCGTGATGGTTTTTGCAGCTCTTGCGTGCTTTGTTTCACCTTCATTTGATTGATCACATCTTGTTTTGCCTGTCCCTGTCTCATTTTGTCCTGTCTCATGCCACCTCATAGTGAGGCATTTGTCATATTCATTCATTTTGCTGGTTCATTCATTCATGCATCCTGCACTTGTGGAATCACAGAGTCTTTTGTGGCAAGATTGTTCGTGGTGCCGCCGCATTTTTTCTCATTCAAGACGGGACTCTGAACTCGACCACACTACATCATGGCACAGACTTTGGATTATCTACCACTTTTCACATGGTTTGCTTCTCGAACCATTGGGATTCATGGCATCAGAAAGGCATCAGACAGGCTTTTCTCCAACAGAAAACTTGCAGATTTCTTCAAAGGGCTTTGTGGTTGACACTCTCAGTCTCAGTGGTTTACTTTCCAGCATCGTGGAATCTCCTCCAGATGAAACTTGCCAAGATGAAAAAAACGGATGTAGGTTTTTCTCTCTGTGGTTTATCTTGCAGGGATTTGATGCAAATACTTATTGTATGCAACATAATTGACGTTTGTTGTCCGGTCTTTCTTGGCCATCACCACAATTACACATTTTGATCGGACACTGCTCTTGTATTGATGCAATTGGATTTTTTTCAGACGATCACTGCGGAAGAGGACACCCGGTTTGATGTTTTACCTTTATCCTCTTCCAGGGCATCTGCAACTTTCTTCATTGGTAGTTTGCACAATTGGTCAGATCAAGAAGAAGGTAGAGATTCCAGATCAGGTTCTAGCCGAGTTTTGGCATGATATCTTGTTCCAAAAGTCAGATGGCAATGGCAGAAAACATTTAGCGGAATAGCAAGGATCATGACTAACAAATAGAGCCTGGTGTTGAAGCCGCAAAGCATCCGAGGACAATTGTCAGAAGTGTCATCACATGATATCGCGTGATCCAGCACTCTACACTCATGCTTTCTGTTGCCTCTGCAACTTCCCCATTTCACTGAAGTTTCACCTTCACCATCCTCGGCCATCCCTGCACGCTGCCATGGGGAATCTTTGTCGGAAATCCGCTTCAAAGGCCGGGCTTCCAGCTGTTTCAGTCGAGCACAAATTGACAAAGTGGCCCTGTCGACTATTTGATTGTGCGCATTCCAGAACCAATTGGGTCTCAAGCCTTCAAGCGCTTAAACTTGCTCAGTGAACACTCAAAAAGTGTCATTTTTTGATGTTCTCATTCCGGAATTGGGTCTGCACCTCGCTTCAACCGCTTGAAGTTCCCAAACAGCAACCCCACCCAGAAACCATGGTTTAGTGGGGAATCTTTTTGATTTTACGGTTTACAGGGGGAAGGGATTTGAAATGATCTGAGTGTCAGATCAAATTCCAAGAACCTCCAAACAGCCAAGCGACACTGCCCCCAGGCCTCGGTGCTGCCGGACAATCATGCTGGGGAGGCTCAGATTCGACTTGCGACGGAAGCACCGCAAACGGCACAGTTCCTTTTATGCCATTGTTTTTTTCATATTCAATGAACATTTCAATCCAAACTCATCATCTTGCTTGAAATGAAATCTGTCCCAAATTCCAGCAGCATATTGCAGGATCGCGCGACACTTCGTGGCGCAGCCTTGGATGCAAGTGATGGGACCTCAGTATCAGATGAGAGTTTGCGAGTGGCTGCCACTGGACCTTGGTAGCCTGATCTCACTGGCAATGCCCTGGCAGCTACCTATTTGCGCAAGCTCAGGCAGCTGCGCAACCTGCTGAAAGAGCAGAGGTTAGCCAAACATTGGAACCTTGAAACTTCCAGAATATTCGAAACTGTCATATTCGAACAAGTCCAAATTGCAATATGTCAATGACTTCCGACCATGGCCCTTGTCCTGACAGGGTGTTTAAGAGCTAACATACTGGATGCATGAGGGTTCAAAAAGACAGTGCTGGCATGTGCGTTTGCACAATGATTTTTGGTCACTTGAAGGGGATACGCAAATTTTCACATCCTTTAAAATTTTCAGCTGCTGCGAAGCTTTCCTGACTTGAATGGTAGCGATTCTTGCTTCGCACCGCTGATTTCATTTGGACACCTCACTCAATCTCGTGATTGTTTTTGCACCTCTTGCATGCTTCATTTCACTTTCATTTGACTGACCACATCTTGTTTTGTCCCTGTCTGATTTTGTCCTGTCTCATGCCACCATGTAGGGAGCTATTCGTCACATTCATTCATTTGCTCCTCTATTCATGCATTGCATCCTGCACTTGTGGAATCGCAGAGTCTTTTGTGGCAAGATTGACCGTCGTGGTGCCGCCGCAAGTTTCCAAATCAAGACGGTAGTCGGAACTCGACCACACTACATCATGGCACAAACTTCATATTATCTACCACTTTTCACAAGATTTGCTTCTCGAACCATTGGGATTCATGGCATCAGAACGGTATCAGAACGGCATCAGACGGGCTTTTCCCCAACGGAAAACTTGCAGATCTCTACAAAGGGTTTTGTCTTTGACACTCTCAGTCTTGGTGTCTCCAGATGAAAGTTGCCAAGATGAAAACAACAATCTGTATATGTTTTTGTCTCTGTGTTTTGGCTGGCAGAGATTTGATAGAAATCACTTCTTGCATGCGACATGATTGGGGTTTGTTTTCCGATCCGTCCTGGCCATCACCACAAATGCACATTTTGATCGGAAACTGCCGTTGTATTGATAGATTTTGTATTTCTTTTTCAGAGGATCACTAGAGATGAGGATTCCAGGTTTGGTGTTTTTGTTTTTTCAATTTCCAGGGTATTTGCAACTTCCTTCATTCGTAGTTTGCACAATGGATCAGATCATGAAAGAGGCACATGGGTGGAACTTTGTCTAGATGATAAGAGTGTGTGTTTTCTGGTTGTTGGAGCAGATTCCTGATCAAGTCTAAGCCGAGTTTTGTCATGATATCGTGTTCCAGAGTCAGATGGCAATTACCGCAAACAATTGGTGGAATAGCAAGGATCTTGACTCACATGAGTTAAAATGATCAAAATGCGGGGATTTCCGGTGGGAGATGTGGATCTCTGCATTTTTTCTCCTCCTTTCTCTAAGGTCCCCACGAGATCTCACAGAACATACAAAAGAAACACACAGCTTCAGCCACTAAGAAGTAAGCGATGAAGAACGTCAAAGATTGGGGGGTCCCCAGGCCTTTGAAAATGAGAGTGGCTGAGAAGAAAGAACCCGATCGGGACAGGGTTCCAGAAAGAAAAGGAACCAACAAAATCATTGACTTTACCCCACCCAAATTCTTTCAGACAGGGGATATGTTTACACCCCAAACAGTTTATGCCACCGAAATTGCTTTTGTCGAAATCGATATGTTTACTTTTTAATGTTCATTATTTCCATTTTTGGACATTGTCCAAACTTTAAAACCCACCACCATCATACAGATCATTTTAATTGAATGTTAGCTATACCATGTTGTGATAGTCATGCTTTGACATTGACATATGGACTTGAAAAAGGCCAAAATGGCAACTACATTTTTTCTAGCCAAAGGTCCATGGTGAGACCGGTAGGTGCCACTACAGCATGGGAATCCCTCATTCCCTAAGGAGAGCCCAGTTGGATTTTTTTCCAAGGTCTCTGTTCCATAGATCAAAAGGAATGCTTTCGTTTCAGGCCAGACTGGCGCCGGGCACATTGCCAAGCACGCCCCGCCACAAAGAGGCGATGGGCAGTCACTGTATCATCTATTTGCAGAGCCCCTTGTTTTTCATTGATGATGCGTTCGACTTTGTTGCAGTCCCATTGTACTAATTTTCCTCAAAATCGAGAGTTCACCAGACGTGAAAGAACGCGTGTACGAGATCGGCTTGAGCACGGTCTAGGTTTTCGAAAAAAAACAACCAAAAAAAGGACTGAAACGCAACAAATTGTAAAAACACCTAACTTAGGTGAAACCACGCTGAAACATGTGCGGCTCAAGGATGAAAGAAAGTGAGCTACGCTAGCTTAACAGTTGCAGTGTTCAGCCCATACTAGTGGCTCATAGTTGGGCCGAAGTCCCAACATTTCCAGTTCAATGGATTCATGATCAGTGCTTCTTGATGCAGGAACAGTGGCAAACTGACGTGAAGAAAGGGAGGCCGAACTGACCAATATTTCTGTTTCCTGTCGCATTACTGTCACATTCTCAGTTCTTGCGCCATGCAGGGTCTCAACCACCTCGACTCATTGTCCTGATGCAGAAGATGTTCTGGAGGCTTCCCGGGCTGGCCAGCAGATTGTGAAGGATCACCGTGTCACAGCATACTTTGATACTTTGACATGGGCAGGATTTGCAACAACAATAAGAAGAGACCTTAGTTTCCAAATTGTGCTGTGCAGCATTCAGGCTGCGTTTGATCCACATGAATGCTTGGAGGTGGGACACAAAGGTCATAGCTTTTATGTTCTTTCAGTGTTGCTTCTTCCCACTTGGACCATGGAAAGCTTCCAAATGAATCCAAGGACGTGTTCACATGCTCGGATCAGACTTCGTGTTCCGGCGGAGAGAGCCCAAGCTTTGGACTGACAAGGCTGTTGAATGGCTCATGTAAGTTCAAGTGCGCATTGAAAGAGACACATATTGGTTTATATTTTCTTTCTGGAATCCTGTGTGGCCTTTCGCCAGCATCGGAGAGTGGACCGTTTAGCGTAACTTTGGTTTGTAGACAAAGTTCCCGGGCAGGCTCCCTTTCAAGACGTTTTCCCTTCATGTTTGGGCCTAGATGGGGTGATACACTGTGCGATGTGCGGTCATGAAGGCAACCTGCTTGGTGGGCACCGAAGTCAGAGGACAAGGCCAGAACACCAGACAGCATGATGCTTCATTTTTTGCGCGAAAAATGAGCAGGAATAGCTGGCGGTGAGAAATGAGAGCTCAGATTCCACCTTTCGCGCTCAGCGATGTTGGCCAGGCAAATCTTATCAAGAACCTTGAGGCCATTTGGTCCCCTTTTCGTTTGGTTGGTCATCTGGGATTTGTCTGATTCTGCGCGGTGCTTCAGCTGCCTGCATTCCTTTCTGGGCGCAGGGATTCATTGAAAGTTGCCACATGGGCATCGCAAGACCCAAGGACCTACAGGCTGGCCAGCAGATTGTCAGGGATCACCGTGTCACAGCATACTTTGATACTTTGACATGGGCAGGATTTGCAACAACAATAAGAAGAGACCTTAGTTTCCAAATTGTGCTGTGCAGCATTCAGGCTGCGTTTGATCCACATGAATGCTTGGAGGTGGGACACAAAGGTCATAGCTTTTATGTTCTTTCAGTGTTGCTTCTTCCCACTTGGACTATGGAAAGCTTCCAAATGAATCCAAGGACGTGTTCACATGCTCGGATCAGACTTCGTGTTCCGGCGGAGAGAGCCCAAGCTTTGGACTGACAAGGCTGTTGAATGGCTCATGTAAGTTCAAGTGCGCATTGAAAGAGACACATATTGGTTTATATTTTCTTTCTGGAATCCTGTGTGGCCTTTCGCCAGCATCGGAGAGTGGACCGTTTAGCGTAACTTTGGTTTGTAGACAAAGTTCCCGGGCAGGCTCCCTTTCAAGACGTTTTCCCTTCATGTTTGGGCCTAGATGGGGTGATACACTGTGCGATGTGCGGTCATGAAGGCAACCTGCTTGGTGGGCACCGAAGTCAGAGGACAAGGCCAGAACACCAGACAGCATGATGCTTCATTTTTTGCGCGAAAAATGAGCAGGAATAGCTGGCGGTGAGAAATGAGAGCTCAGATTCCACCTTTCGCGCTCAGCGATGTTGGCCAGGCAAATCTTATCAAGAACCTTGAGGCCATTTGGTCCCCTTTTCGTTTGGTTGGTCATCTGGGATTTGTCTGATTCTGCGCGGTGCTTCAGCTGCCTGCATTCCTTTCTGGGCGCAGGGATTCATTGAAAGTTGCCACATGGGCATCGCAAGACCCAAGGACCTACAGGCTGGCCAGCAGATTGTCAGGGATCACCGTGTCACAGCATACTTTGATACTTTGACATGGGCAGGATTTGCAACAACAATAAGAAGAGACCTTAGTTTCCAAATTGTGCTGCGCAGCATTCAGGCTGCGTTTGATCCACATGAATGCTTGGAGGTGGGACACAAAGGTCATAGCTTTTATGTTCTTTCAGTGTTGCTTCTTCCCACTTGGACCATGGAAAGCTTCCAAATGAATCCAAGGACGTGTTCACATGCTCGGATCAGACTTCGTGTTCCGGCGGAGAGAGCCCAAGCTTTGGACTGACAAGGCTGTTGAATGGCTCATGTAAGTTCAAGTGCGCATTGAAAGAGACACATATTGGTTTATATTTTCTTTCTGGAATCCTGTGTGGCCTTTCGCCAGCATCGGAGAGTGGACCGTTTAGCGTAACTTTGGTTTGTAGACAAAGTTCCCGGGCAGGCTCCCTTTCAAGACGTTTTCCCTTCATGTTTGGGCCTAGATGGGGTGATACACTGTGCGATGTGCGGTCATGAAGGCAACCTGCTTGGTGGGCACCGAAGTCAGAGGACAAGGCCAGAACACCAGACAGCATGATGCTTCATTTTTTGCGCGAAAAATGAGCAGGAATAGCTGGCGGTGAGAAATGAGAGCTCAGATTCCACCTTTCGCGCTCAGCGATGTTGGCCAGGCAAATCTTATCAAGAACCTTGAGGCCATTTGGTCCCCTTTTCGTTTGGTTGGTCATCTGGGATTTGTCTGATTCTGCGCGGTGCTTCAGCTGCCTGCATTCCTTTCTGGGCGCAGGGATTCATTGAAAGTTGCCACATGGGCATCGCAAGACCCAAGGACCTACAGGCTGGCCAGCAGATTGTCAGGGATCACCGTGTCACAGCATACTTTGATACTTTGACATGGGCAGGATTTGCAACAACAATAAGAAGAGACCTTAGTTTCCAAATTGTGCTGTGCAGCATTCAGGCTGCGTTTGATCCACATGAATGCTTGGAGGTGGGACACAAAGGTCATAGCTTTTATGTTCTTTCAGTGTTGCTTCTTCCCACTTGGACCATCGAAAGCTCCTAGATCATTTTGGTTCCCATGTGTTTGCGAATTGCGACCAGATGTTGCTTCAGGCGCGAACTTTTTTTTTTCCTCACCGCGTAAGCTAATGGGGTCTTGAGCGTAGATAGCTCCAGTGTGCTTCGGTGCAGGCAGCAGGTCCAGGTTTCGGCAGATTCCGGGAGGTTCCTGGAAGGTTCGAGGGTAATTTCGGGAGCAGTTCCCAGGCCAAAGTTCCGGGAGCTTGCTGCTTGTCTTTCATTTGTCTTCAGGGTCTGATGTCATTTGTCTCCTTCAGTTTTTTTTCACTTCATCTGTCACTTGGGCGCCTCCCAGCTTGGGTGCCTGTGGTCCGGTCTCCCATCATGTGTCTCCCAATCATTTGTCTTTCAGTCATTTGGCTTTCAGTCATTTCTCCCCAATTCTTGTTGCCAGCTTGGGTTGCCTCTGGTCGGGCCTTGCGTTCCCTTTGGTTGCTTATTAGGTCCACTTCGTCCACCTCTTCTTCCTTTCTTTTTTTGTTGTCATGTCCGTCTCTTCGTCTTGTTTCCCCTTTTATCTCCCTTTTTCGTTATTGTGATCAAAAATGCATCAGTTCCTTTTCGGGATGCTGCAACCAGGTTGTCACGGCGCTGCACATGGAATCTGATTTTCTTGAGAACTTCTTGTAGGACGACTAAATACTGAACTTGCAGTTCCAGTTGTTGGATCGTGACTCATGTGGAGTTAGGTGTTGCTGGTCCAAAATTGAGACGAACAGTCGATAGAGTTTCGCACTGTTGATGGAGGAAATTCCTAGTTAACGGATGTGCCGCATCCCTTTGTGGCCATTTGTCAGTCCCACCATCCTTTGGTGTTTGTCTGGTTCTTTCACACTGTCAGCTTTTCTTCAAAGTCCATGTCACATGCTTGGCATTTGCAATCTAGGAACAATGAATTGTTTCCCTGTTGACAAGAGCAAGTCAATACTGAATGCATCATCATCATCATCGTCGTCGTCGTCGTCATCATCGTCGTCATCATCGTCCTCGTCCTCGTCCTCGTCATCGTCATCGTCATCATCATCATCATCATCATCATCATCATTGTGATCGTGATCGTGATCGTCATCGTCATCGTCATCGTCATCGTCATCGTCATCGTCATCATCATCATCATCATCGTCATCGTCATCGTCATCATCATCACCATCATCATCATTGTGATCGTGATCGTCATCGTGATCGTCATCGTCATCGTCGTCGTCATCGTCATCGCCATCATCATCGTCATCATCATCATCATCGTCATCATCATCATCATCATTGTGATCGTCATTGTCATCGTCATCGTCATCATCATCGTCATCATCATCATCATCGTCATCATCACCATCATCGCCATCATCGTCATCATCGTCGTCATCGTCATTGTGATCGTGATCGTCGTCGTCATCGTCATCGTCATCATCATCATCATCATCGTCATCGTCATCGTCATCGTCATCGTCATCGTCATGATCATCATCGTCGTCGTCGTCGTCATCATCGTCGTCATCATCGTCGTCATCATCGTCCTCGTCCTCGGCCTCGTCCTCGTCATCGTCATCGTGATCGTGATCGTCATCGTCATCGTCATCGTCATCATCATCATCGTCATCATCATCATCGTCATCATCATCATCATCATTGTGATCGTCATTGTCATCGTCATCGTCATCATCATCATCATCATCGTCATCATCACCATCATCGCCATCATCGTCATCATCGTCATCATCGTCATCATCGTCATCGTCGTCATCGTCATCGTCATCGTCATCATCATCATCATCGTCATCATCATCATCATCCTCGTCGTCATCGCCATCGTCATCGTCATCGTCATCGTCATCGTCATCATCGTCATCATCGTCATCGTCATCGTCATCGTCATCATCATCATCATCATCATTGTGATCGTGATCGTCATCGTCATCGTCATCGTCATCATCATCATCATCATCATCATCATCGTCATCGTCATTGTCATCGTCATCGTCATCGTCATCGTCATCGTCATCGTCATCATCATCATCGTCATCATCATCATCATCATTATCATCATTATCAGAAATGGTTTAGAAAGACATTTAAGTTACACGTTTGCGAGATGAGACGAGCAGATGCTTCTTCATCCATGCATTTTCCTAAGGTTCTTTCATTTTTTCATGTCCTTTCCACTTCAATGGGGGTCCAGTGCATTTTGACATGTTGCAAGTATTTTTCCTGGGTTACTTGATACTTGATTTGCATTGATTTGCTGGCTCTTGTCCAGGGCGGCGGTGATGGTGTAGCAAGCAACACAGCTGCACCGCAGCCAGCTGTATCGCCTGCTCGCCTGACAGAAGGGCCTCCGAATGTGGGGGCTCCCTAGCGCCAAGCGCTTCTGGTGAATGCTCTGGGGGTGACACCAAGCAGAGATGGAGTACTGAGCTTGCAGTTCCAGTTGTTGGATCGTGACTCATGTGGAGTTAGGTGTTGCTGGTCCAAAATTGAGACGAACAGTCGATAGAGTTTCGCATTGTTGATGGAGGAAAATACTAGTTAACGGATGTGCCGCATCCCTTTGTGGCCATTTGTCAGTCCTGCCATCCTTTGGCGTTTGTCTGTGCCAGGTGTTTCTGGCATGCTGGCGATTTGTATGCAGTGTTATTGCGGGCGAGGCTGGTCAATCAAGTGTAGCTTTGGAAAGGAACACCATTGGTTCCACAATACCCATCATCATTTCATTGAGATGAAACGTCAAACATAACACAGGCCCTTCATGTCGCAGGACCGCCAGGAGAAGCCGACTGACCTTTGCGCTTTTCAACGTGTGTGGCAAAAGAGGCCTGCTCGGGCTGAAAATGAGCACACGCTCCTTGAGTTCTCCATGCGCTTGCAGCATTGAGCACCGTTGAGGCCATGTCAGCAGCTGGTTCTTCAATGCCTAGATGTGACTTGGCTGAACGATAGCAGCTTCACATAGTATGAAGCGGTCACTCTTGCTGCGTTTGCAGCGCACACTGTAACTTGGAGCTGGCAGGTACAAAGTATCTTGTGTCTGCGCGCTGGACACAGCGATGATCAGCAGGCGTGATCAGTCGAGAATCTTCTGCCGCTCGATGGAAGTTGAATCCACGCTGCTTTGAGTCCAGGCCTATCGGAAGCATTTTGCAGAGCACTCAGAACACGCTTTCCCTCACACCAGGCGCTGGGAGTTAGCGCTACCCTTCCGTCCTTGTGCTTTGGCGGGGCTGTGGATTTAAATGTCAGCGAACCCTGTTTGGTTTTGTTCAGCATGTTAATGTGCAAATAGGTGCTGATCCCTGAAGGGCTTTCGGAAATTTCTCACTCAGTCCTGGCCGTTGCCAGGAGACCATGCTGCAACTCCTCGCAGGAGAAGTCCTGGCACAGCCTTTGGTCTCAATCATGCGATTGTTACACAGTGCTAGAAGAGACGGCGGTCGAGCCAACACTTCCTGTAGGTTGGGCCCAGGTTTAATTTCGCGGTGTTGCTGAATGTGTTTGAACTCCAGGGGCTGTTTTCCTTGACATGCAAATTCTATCAAATTCTGACGGGGTTTTCAAGCCTGTCAAGATGGTTTTTGGCAGCTGTCTTTCTGAGGTTTCAGGTGCTTGCTAGTCAGCAAATGTTTTCGGAACAATGCCGTCAAATGCCTGACAGACTGGGGTTCATATCCTGGTCAAGATCTCCTCTTGCGTCTTGCCTTCAGTTCCATCTGGGACTTGAGAGCTATCGGAGCAAAGAAGATGTTTGCTGTGGCGGAGAGCTTCGGACAAGACAAGCAGCGTCATAAGAGCTTTGTCGAGGACTTGATTGCGAGATGCAGGATGGTCGATGAAGAATGGACCATCTACGCAAAACATTTGGTGCATACACACTTGCCGCATCCTCGGTTCCCAGGGGGCGCCATGTGCATGTTGGACAAAGTCGAAAACATGCTCAAATCGAGTACCAGCCCGCTTGCAGAATACCCACTGTTGATGCTTGGGCTCCATTGGTACGTACGGAGACAAGCTCCGAAGAGTGCCAAAGCGCAACGTGTGTGGTCATACTTTGAAAAAGGATTTGCAGATGTCATTCTCTTCTAGGCGATGCGAAGGATCTCTTGCCGACCAAACAAAACGACCAACTTGATCAAGAATGTTTACAACAATGTAAGGAGAGTGGGAGGGTTGGAGGGTTGGAGCAGAGCTGGGATGCCCACATGACCAGGATTGGAAGGCAACCATGGCTGTTAAGCATCAATGAAGCATCATGAACCATGGCGGTCAGCCCTTAACCATCATGTAAAAACACTGGTTTGGTTGGTTGGGTGTTTCATGGCTGGGGAATTCTTTCTTAGAAAGAATTGAAAGATCACCATGAACCATTGCCTTGGTGGTCGATGGGTTGTGCTCGTGCTTGAGGTTGCTGATCATGATGGTGGCCGTTGTGTTGCTCTCTGAATTGTATATTTGGACCTAAGTAGCTGGTGCACCTTAGGGCATATTGTAATCCATGAAGGGAAATTGAATTGTGACTAGCAGTGACAAGAGATCGTGACAACAGTTGCCATGAGCCTACGTATTCAAGAATTGGATGATCATCCCTTCTAAGATGATGGAAATGTGCAATGTTCTGACTAGATTATAGACGTCGTAAGGGGTGTCCACGGGTATAACTTTGGTATAACCATGCGTTTGAAATGATATCCAGGGCGAGCTTGTTTGTTCGCGCCGCGACATCATGGCACTCTCTGCAACCTGAGCAGGGTCGAAAACCCAGCAGTTGATTCAGTGGATATGGTTTTACCAGCCCAGCGAAGAAGCGTAAATCATCATTCAGACTTGACCCAAGCAGCCACTACTGCTAGGAACTGCTAGTGGAAATGGGCAATCAGGAACAATGCCAGTCACTATGTCATTAGGCGCTTAAGTAGCCAACATAACATGATAGGAAATGATCGGTACTTAGCCAGCTTAATACACTAGCCATTTTTTGCTGGTTCGAAGCAGCCAGCTGTTCATCCATGGGCTTAATGACCCAATGTCAAGCCACCAGTCTGGCGATGGTCCGGATTTGGGTAGGGTTCAATATCGATGGTTTTGAAATATCCAACTATTGGGAAGCCTGTTGGGAAATCAATGACCGGTACGTTACAGCAGTGTAGCGCAGATTGACAAGTGGTCACAGATGCCCGATTCACAGCGGAGTAGAAAGAGGTGTGTCAAGGTGGAGCATCACCATGTTTGGCCGGTGCTCATATGTTTGCTTTGCGAAAGCGTTCCTGACAGACGAGATGTGCTAGCAATCCCTTTCCCTCAGAATCATTGCCGCCATCAAACATGAACAGTCGACCTTATACAAGTATCATTAACCATCATGAATTTTCAGAAAATGTTATTGATTTTCAACCACCTTTGATGACCATGGAAGCGTCAGCCGTCAATAAACACCCCCTTTCCAATGGCAAGAACCGGAGATGCAGCTGCGACTGTTGCAGGATGAAAGCTGGAATCGACGGAGGCGATACCTGATTTTGACATCCCATCAAGATGCTCAAGATTGCTCGAAATACAGACGAAGAGGTTTCTGACCCGCAGCTCTTGCACATGTACCGAGCTCAAGACGTTCGTCGCAGGAATTTACGCTTCAAGTCTGGGAACTTGACAGAGATGATACAGCAATCTGTAGAGTGTTCATCGATGCCAAGCTCGTGAAGGCTTTTGAAAAACGAGTTCTCAAAGTATTGTTCATTGAAGCTGTTTTGTTTGCTTTTGAGAGACTTGCGCCAACATTAAAGTTCTCTGCAAGTCAAACAGCTTTCGTGGATGCCACGTTGGCCTCAGATGCAATGAACTTCTCAACAAGCTCAGGAGCATGGAATGACATGGAGAAGCATTGGCTTGTCCACAACATGTTCTCCCCACGGTCACAAGAGTTTATTCAGCACCATCATTTCTCAAACCAACAAATCATTCTGTGGAGGTTGAAGTGAGTGCATGATGGCAGACATTAGCTGCCTACAGGGACATGTTGTAATTCCTTTAATATTTGCGTGGAGTTCGTGCTCATATTCAATGGCCTTTCTTGCAAGCTGTGTTCAAGTCCAGCACTGTTGTCCTTTTGATGCGGGGTCCATGAAGTTGATGCTGCGCATGTCCAAATGGCCGCCATGCTATTCGAAAGAAAGACAAACATCCTATGAACACATCCAAGACTTTGTTGTATTGCATCTTATCTTCTGCTCTGTGCTGGACATACAGAATTGCAGCGATAGGTAGATCGGTAGATAGATACACTGGACACGTGGATGTGGATCACTTACACACACACACAAACTCGCACATGCATACATACAGACATCACAAGAAGGGCCTCAACTGCAGACAGCATTTGTCACGCCATGGCTGCCCTTTTTTTGCTGGTCACCGCATTGGCTGCGCTTGCCAACGCGGCGCGTATTCACGGCAATTTCAGGGTTGATAATGTGGCCTGGAAGCAGCGGCCCCTGCCGTCTCCGTTCTTGAACTCTCAAAGCCAGGCAGTAAATTCCGGGTACCCAGCAAAAGACTGTGTAAAGATGAACCTGTTTGCTAGAACATGGGTCACACAGGACTCATTATGCATCTACCCTGTGCCCATGGTTGCGCACTTCTGAGTCCAGTCTTGGTGAACATTACATCCCACAAATAATCTAGTTTTGTTGGGATGTTCACCCATTTCTTGAATGGTTGTTATTGACCCATCCTCGCATGTTTGTTGTATTTAAGCATGGTCAAATATCATAATGAAGCTTAAAGCGGCCAATCAACATATCTCATTGGAGCGAATCTCATGGAGTGAATCTCATTGAACCCTCACAGGGGTCGCTGGGGTCGTGACGAGGCAGCCCACAACGATCTGGATGCTGCAGTGAAAATCGCGCGAGACATGGTGAGTCCTTTGCGCTTGGATGTGGAGGCACGGCGTCATAAGGTGCAGCTGCAAGTAGCAGGCGCACCGCAAACTAATATGCCGATGTTTGCAACCAGCCGGGTCATATCCGGTGGTGTTGCGCAGCCTGAAGAAGATATACATTGACGTGCCAGGAAGATTTGCCGATGCAACAAGTTCTGCAGTCAGCTGCTGCGGCGCAATTTGAGGCGCCAAGATCCCGTTGACCTGGGTTCAACATGATTCAAAGTGGAACAGACACACACACACAGGAGTACCAAAAAACATCATGCAAGACAAGGTGTTCCAATTGAATTGATGTTAATCATGTAGGGCCAATTTGGCGACTATCAGAAGTACATGCAGGGCCCTGTGGGCTGGTTGGCTGGTTGGCTGGCTGGCTGGGTGGGTGGCCAAACTGGGGGCTCCTTTACTTTTCTAGGATATTTTTTTCGTTTTTGTTCGGATGTTTTTTTCCAGTTCCAATTGCAGTTTTACCTCTGTAGACTGGATATACCATTGGTTTTTGACGTCCAGATTAGTTTACCTTCTAATGTATATCCATTTGCTGTGGACATGGTTACCGGCATGTGCAAGTATACAGTCTTTGATATTAGTGCGTTCCGAAGCCATTCGAATCCTTCAAAGCCATTCTCAAAAGCCACAGTTCCAGGAAACGCTGAGGTCGCTTTTTCCGGCGCCGTTTGAAAACTTGAAAACATGAACATTTTTGAGAGAAATCATCCCCCTAAAAAATCTTTAAACCACTTCGAAATATTTGAAACAAATCAAACATCAGCATTTTTGAGACGCATCAATCAATCAACCTCTCAAGTGTTTGAGGTTAATCAACCAGTTTGCAGGCACCGCTGGCACCTCAAGTACCCAGCCAGACTGTGGTGGTGAAAAAGGAGCCTGTGGTGCCACGCAAGAAGGCTCCAGACTGGGTGAGGGGGTGGCTGCGGCTTGCAATGATTTAATAGGTGGATGAATCATGAATAAGTTTTGTTTGTTGTTATAAAGTGCCTGGGGAAACTACAGTTGATATTTGAGACGGGGAGAGGTCCATAGTATATTTCAATGGATTGCATTTTTTTGCATTCTCTTACGTTGCCACGTCGCAATCGAAACAAAATATGACAGCAGTGCGTCGCACAACCGCTCTTAACCCTCGGTGTCATGTTTATCGAAAGCCAGAAACGCTTGGATCCTGTAGCTGGCATTGTGCAGATTTAATATGAGTGAAATGTTGTGGCCCATGCAGGTAAATTGAATGGCTCTGAGTGAGAAGCAATTATCTATTGCCAAGCGGTTCCTGCCAGTTCCGTGGACGATTCTACTGTAAGTGTGATTCTCTTACTTCGTTAGTCACCAATGAAGTAGGTTTCTTCTGTTGTTTTGTGGTTGGTTTGCGACTCAGTGACATGCTATATTCTTGAAAGCGTGAGCGGTCACGAGGCCAATCATCAGTCATACCAATGGCTTGTGGAGTTTAGACTTGGGCCAAGTACTCATTGATCAGTTAAGTATATAGACACACAGCAAAGATACAGCGCACTTCTGTGTATGTCATGTCAGTGCGGCCAGCAAACAAATTTCTGCCCACGCAGCCCAGAAATGCAATTAGTTTCATGCTCAAAATGCCCAATCTCCGAACCTGGGAAGGACCAATGCTGGAATCTGCCAGGTCAACAGTCAACATTAATTCCAGTTTCGCAAACAAATTTCCTTCCCCCAACAATGGAACCACTGCCTCTTCCCCGAAAAAAGATGTATGTATGTGCTACACCGACCTCGGGGGTAAAGAACCCTAGCACCCTTCACCGTTGTCCGCAGGAGAAGCAGTTGTTCATCAAGTACGGCTTCAATAAGAATGGCACCCTGAACTTTCAGGTCGCAAAACCTGATGTTATGGTGTTGCAGTCCGTAGCTCTTGCGAAAAGAAATCAAGTTGAGGTAGGGAGTTGCTGTTGAAGTATGCTAGATCGGTAAGCTACCAAGGACCTGGAAACTAAAAATACTGGACACAAAGCTTGTGGAAACTACACCGTATGCTCCTTGTACTCAAGAATTGACCATGTTCGCATGCGATGCATGTGAGCTACAGACCCCGTCTTGGCAAGTATCATGGTCCTGCCAGATCTTGTCCAATTCCCTGCAGGTCCATGGTATTCCCGGTTTCTGGATCACAGACCTAGTGGTAGCTAGATCTGTTTGACAAAAGGTTGCAGACACAGGAGTCAGTTTGGATTTCCATTCATGGCTGCTCCTGAGTCGTTGGATTCTCCTGCTCACCATCCAACCCTTGCCAGGAACTACGCAAACTCCTGAAGAAGGGAGATGCCAAGGTAACTGATACGGAGGCGGCTTGCTGATGCTGACTGTGGTCAGTTCAAGACTGGTTCTTTGGGGTTGGTGCCTGGGCTAAGGGTTTGTTTTGCATCACCAGTTGGCGGAATCATTGTGAGTCAAATTCATCACTGGTCCCTGATAGAGCCAGCTACCTATTAAACGCCTGCAGTTCTTGTGGCTTAAGAGATTGATGGCTCACCTTTTGACACATGCGTGAAGCTGTTCTAGATTCTGTGTTTTTGTTTAGCTGATTGTATGTGTCTCTATTTGGTTCTATACCCACCCATACAGTGGTTTGTTCGGATCCTCGAATGGCTGGACATATTCGGATATGCTTGATGGCTGATGGCATCTACCCGGATCTACCCGCAATCATTTCCACTCATTTGTGTATGGCTTGCCGGCCAGTGGGCATGACATTTTGAATCTTGGGTCTTGGATATATTTGACCAAACACCTCTCACTCTACTAAAGAACAGAGGTCTTTTTGTATACGTATTGTTGACTAATCTAGCCGTGTTTGTATGGTTGATGTTTTGAATGCGTGAATGTATCCATGTCAGTGATTGTGTGTGTATCTATGCGTGTAAGTGTATGGAAATGTGTGTTTGTGTGTGTGCGTGCATATTTGTAGATTTGTTTTTCTCTCCCGCATCTATCCACTGATCCATGTATTGGTCTGCAATTGTATGATTTTTGTATAATGGAAGGTCCATATGCATTTATGTTGCATTTATGGATTTATATGGACTATTGCCTGTCAGGGGATCCTCCAAACTATTGGAAAATGATGATTCCCCCATGATTCCCCCTTGCCGATGGCGCGCCATGCCCTCCACTTGTACGACTTGAAGTAGTGGATTGTATACATTTTTGCTACTGCAGTACCACACTGTGGTTTGCAATAGTTGAAGATTCGGTTCTACACGTTCATTTTTTGCTTGGCTTCATGGGCAGATGCAGATCATACAGCATGATAGCTAAGCGTCACATATTTGAAAGAATCCTGGCGGAGGATTTCAACTTTCAACTACCTCAAGTCGGAGGCAAACCCTAAAGCTCAACCCGAATCTCCAAGACTCGAAAGTTTGCAGCATCTTGCAGCTTGCGAGTCGGAATCCGCAGGAAACAAACTCCCGGCCTGACGGTCCAAGTCACGATCTCAGAGGCAATGTCTCCAGTAGGCTACACAGGAGAGACATGGAGAGAGCCTCTGGCAGAAAGACATACTGACAAAATCTGACATACATCACACATGGCAGTTAACATCATGTGGGTTCAGAATGATATTGTCAAGGTGTGAACTCTACAGCAAGTACCAGATTGCCACGGCATGGTCCATCCTGGTTCCCCCTCTTTCGGTGATTTGAGGAGGACAGCAGTATGAATCAATTTCGTTTTGTTTGATTCTGTTTCATGTGACGCATGCTTTGCCAAAGTCTTGTGACCATGCTTGAACTCTGGATTGGGCCAGGATGCAGAAAGAGGCACCAACACCATGTGACAAGTCTTGGAACCGTCTTGAAAGAGATGGACAACTTCGAAATCGATTAATTAAGAATGATTAACATTGGAAACTTCTGAAAAAATCATTTCGAGCTTGCGAAGCAGAGGCGGAGAAGGCAGATGCCTATGAGCCGTCCAAATCATCCTCCCTGTGGCTCAGCTCAATTCAGAAAAGTCCTTGAGATATACAGATTTCCCTCTTGCAGTCCTTTGAACCAATGCTCATGTCGTATTATGTCTGTGAAGACTGTCTATATTAATGCTGGCGTTAGTTGTCCACATGGTTTCGAAGTGGCGATAACATTTACTCAAATGCCCCAACGGTTGGTTGGCTTGACACTCTTGGAGTTTTGGGTGTTCACATTGACTTGCCTGCAGATGCTGCAGACTGATGTGGTTGTAATTTGGCTTTGGAAACTCCAGCTGTGCAGAATTTGACACCCTTGTAACTTTCAACCTTCCGGCGGAACAACCGAATCAGAACGCAATGGAGAGCTGCGAATTTTGTGTTATCTGATCAAAGGAAGTTTAGTAGTGTGAACTTCCGTGTTGCGGACATTCAATAGTCAAAGAGTAGAGTAGTCAAAGAGTGGAGTAATCGAAGAGTAGAGCCGTCAACGAGTAGAGCTTTCAAAGAGTAGAGCAGTCAAAAAGTAGAGCCGTCAAAGAGTAGAGCAGTCAAAGAGTAGAACTGTCAAAAAGTAGAGCCGTCAAAGAGTAGAGCTGGCAAAGAGTAGAGCAGTCAACGAGTAGAGCCGTCAAAGAGTAGAGCAGTCAAAGAGTAGAGCAGTCAAAAAGTAGAGCCGTCAAAGAGTAGAGCAGTCAAAGAGTAGAACTGTCAAAAAGTAGAGCCGTCAAAGAGTAGAGCAGTCAAAGAGTAGAGCAGTCAACGAGTAGAGCCGTCAAAGAGTAGAGCAGTCAACGAATAGAGCAGTCAAAGAGTAGAGCAGTGAAAGAGTAGAGCTGTCACAGAGTAGAGCAGCCAAAGAGTAGAGCAGTCAAAGAGTAGAGCTGTCAAAGAGTAGAGCTGTCGAAGAGTGGAGCTGTCAAAGAGTAGAGCACTCATAGAGTAGAGCTGTTAAAGAGTAGAGCTGTCGAAGAGTAGAGCAGTCAAAGAGTAGAGCTGTCAAAGAGCAGAGCAGTCAAAGAGTAGAGCTGTCAAAGAGTAAAGTGGTCAAAGCGTAAAGCTGTCACAGAGTAGAGCAGTCAAAGAGTAGAGCAGTCAACCAGTAGAGCTGTCAAAGAGTAGAGCTGTCAAAGAGTAAAGCTGTCCAAGAGGAAAGCTGTCAAAGAGTAGAGCTGTCAAAGACTAAAGCTGTCAAAGAGTAGAGCAGTCAAAGAGTAGAGCAGCCAAAGAGTAGAGCAGTCAACGAGTAGAGCAGTCGAAGAGTAGAGCTGTCAAAGAGCAGAGCTGTCAAAGAGTAGAGCTGTCATCCAGAAGAGCAGTCAAAGAGCAGAGTCTTCAAAGAGTAAAGCAGCCAACGAGTAGAGCAGTCAAAAAGTAGAGCCGTCAAAGAGTAGAGCAGTCAAAGAGTAGAACTGTCAAAAAGTAGAGCCGTCAAAGAGTAGAGCAGTCAAAGAGTAGAACTGTCAAAAAGTAGAGCCGTCAAAGAGTAGAGCTGGCAAAGAGTAGAGCAGTCAACGAGTAGAGCCGTCAAAGAGTAGAGCAGTCAAAGAGTAGAGCAGTCAAAAAGTAGAGCAGTCAAAGAGTAGAGCAGTCAAAGAGTAGAACTGTCAAAAAGTAGAGCCGTCAAAGAGTAGAGCAGTCAAAGAGTAGAGCAGTCAACGAGTAGAGCCGTCAAAGAGTAGAGCAGTCAACGAATAGAGCAGTCAAAGAGTAGAGCAGTGAAAGAGTAGAGCTGTCACAGAGTAGAGCAGCCAAAGAGTAGAGCAGTCAAAGAGTAGAGCTGTCAAAGAGTAGAGCTGTCGAAGAGTGGAGCTGTCAAAGAGTAGAGCACTCATAGAGTAGAGCTGTTAAAGAGTAGAGCTGTCGAAGAGTAGAGCAGTCAAAGAGTAGAGCTGTCAAAGAGCAGAGCCGTCAAAGAGTAGAGCTGTCAAAGAGTAAAGTGGTCAAAGTGTAAAGCTGTCACAGAGTAGAGCAGTCAAAGAGTAGAGCAGTCAACCAGTAGAGCTGTCAAAGAGTAGAGCTGTCAAAGAGTAAAGCTGTCCAAGAGTAGAGCTGTCAAAGAGTAAAGCGGTCAAAGAGAAAAGCAGGCAACGAGTAGGGCAGTCAAAGAGTAGAGCTGTCAACAAGTAGAGCTGTCGAAGAGTAAAGCTGTCAAAGAGTAGAGCTGTCAAAGGGTATAGAGCAGCCAAAGAGTAGAGCTGTCAAAGAGTAGAGCTGTCAAAGAGCAGAGCTGTCAAAGAGTAGAGCTGTCATCCAGAAGAGCAGTCAAAGAGCAGAGTCTTCAAAGAGTAAAGCAGCCAACGAGTAGAGCAGTCAAAGAGTAGAGCAGTCAAAGAGTAGCGCTGTCGAAGAGTAGAGCTGTCAAAGAGTAGAACTATCAAAGAGTAGAGCTGTCAAAGAGTAGAGCTGTCAAAGAGTAGCGCTGTCAAAGGGCAGAGCTGTCAAAGAGTAGAGCAGTCACAGAGTAGAACTGTCAAAGAGTAGCGGTCAAAGAGTAGAGCTGTCAAAGAGTAGAGCTGTCAAAGAGTAGAGCTGTCAAAGAGTAGAGCTGTCAAAGAGTAGAGCAGTCAAAGAGTAGAGCAGTCAAAGAGAAGAGCGGCCAACAAGTAGAGCGGTCAACGAGTAGAGCCGTCAAAGAGTAGAGCATAGTAGAGCCGTCAAAGAGTAGAGCAGTCAACGAGTAGAACAGTCAAAGAGTAGAGCTGCCAAAGAGTAGAGCTGTCAAAGAGTAGAGCAGTCAAAGAGTAGAGCTGCCAAAGAGTCGAGCAGTCAAAGAGTAGACCTGTCAAAGAGTAGAGCTGTCAAAGAGTTGAGCTGTCAAAGAGTAAAGCAGTCAAAGGGTAGAACTGTCAAAGAGTAGAGCTGTCAAAGAGTACAGCAGTCAAAGAATTGAGCTGTCAAAGAGTAGAGCAGCCATCGAGTAGACCAGTCAAAGAGTAGAGCTGTGAAAGAGTAAAAAATTCAAAGAGTAGAGCAGCCAAAGAGTAGAGCAGTCAACGAGTAGAGCAGTCAAAGAGTAGAGCAGTCAACAAGTAGAGATGTCAAAGAGTAGAGCTGTCAAAGAGTAGAGCAGTCAACGAGTAGAGTCTTCAAAGAGTAGAACTGCCGAAGAGTAAAGCAGTCAAAGAGTAGAGCTGTCAAAGAGTAAAGCTGTCAAAGAGTAGAGCTGCCGAAGAGTAGAGCTGTCAAAGAGTAAAGCTATCAAAGAGCAGAGCTGGCAAAGAGTAGAGCATTCAACGGGTAGAGCTGTCAAAGAGTAGAGCTGTCAGAGAGTAGAGCAGTCAAAGAGTAGAGCTGTCAAAGAGTAGAGCAGTCAAAGAGTAGAGCAGTCAAAGAGTAGAGCTGTCAAAGAGTAAAGCAGTCAAAGAGTAGAGCTGTCAAAGAGTAAAGCTGTCAAAGAGTAGAGCTGCCAAAGAGTAGAGCAATCAACGGGTAGAGCTGTCAAAGAGTAGAGCAGTCAAAGAGTAGAGCAGTCAAAGAGTGGAGCTGTCAAAGAGTAGAGCAGCCAAAGAGTAGAGCAGTCAAAGAGTAGAGCTGTCAAAGAGTAAAGCAGTCTAAGAGTAGAGCTGTCAAAGAGTAGGCATGTCATAGAGTAGAGCTGTCAAGGAGTAGAGCAGTCGAAGAGTAGAGCAGTCAACGAGTAGAGCCGTCAAAGAGTAGAGCTGTCAAAGAGTAGAGCTGTCAAAGAGTAAAGCTGCCAAAGAGTAGAGCAGTCAAAGAGTAGAGCAGTCAACGAGCAGAGCAGTCAAAGAGTAGAGCTGTCAACAAGTAGAGCAGTCAAAGAGTAGGGCTATCACAGAGTAAAGCTGTCAAAGAGTAGACCTGTCAAAGAGTAGAGCTGTCAAAGAGTAGAGCAGTGAAAGAGTGAAGTAGCCAAAGAATAGAGCAGTCCAAGAGGAGATCTGTCAAAGAGTAGAGCTGTCAAAGAGTAGAGCTGTCAAGGAGTAGAGCAGTCGAAGAGTAGAGCAGTCAAGGAGTAGAGCAGTCAAAGAGTAGAGCTGTCAAAGAGTAGAGCTGTCAAAGAGTAGAGCTGTCAAAGAGTAGAGCTGTGAAAGAGTAGAGCAGTCAGAGAAGACATGTCAACGAGCAGAGCAGTCAAAGAGTAGAGCTGTCAACGAGTAGAGCAGTCAAAGAGTAGAGCCGTCAAAGAGTAGAGCAGTCAACGAGTGGAGCTGTCAAAGAGTACAGCTGTCAACGAGTAGAGCTGTCAAAGAATAGAGCAGCCAAAGAGTAGAGGAGTCAAAGAGTAGAGCTGTCCAAGAGGAAAGCTGTCAAAGAGTAGAGCAGTGAAAAATAGACATGTCAAAGATTAAAGCAGTCAAAGAGTAGAGCTGTCCAAGAGTAGACATGTCATAGAGTAAAGCTGTCAAGGAGTAGAGCAGTCAAAGAGTAGAGCGGTCACAGAGTAGAGCTGTCGAAGAGCAGAGCAGCCAAAGAGTAGAGGAGTCAAAGAGCAGAGCTGTCCAAGAGGAGAGCTGTCAAAGAGTAAAGCTTTCAAAGAGTAGAGCAGTGAAAAATAGACATGTCAAAAAGTAAAGCTGTCAAAGAGTAGAGCAGTCAAAGAGTGAACTGTCAAAGAGTAGAGCAGTCAACGAGTAGCGCTGTCAAAGAGTAGAGCTGTCAAAGAGTAGAGCTGTCCAAGAGTAGAGCTGTCAAAGAGTAGAGCTGCCAAAGAGTGGGGCAGTCAAAGAATTGAGCTGTCAAAGAGTACAGCAGCCATCAAGTAGACCAGTCAACGAGTAGCGCTGTCAAAGAGTAGAGCAGTCAACGAGTAGAGCAGTCAAAGAGTAGAGCAGTCAACAAGTAGAGCAGTCAACGAGTAGAGCAGTCAAAGAGTAGAGCTGTCAAAGAGTAGAGTTATCAAAGGGTAGACCTGTCAAAGGGTATCAAGCAGTGAACGAGTAGAGCTGTCAAAGAGTAGAACTGTCGAAGAGTAGAGCTGTCAAAGAGTAGAGCAGTCAAAGAGTAGAGCTGTCAAAGAGTAGAGTAGTCAACAAGTAGAGCAGTCAAAGAGTAGGGCTACC